TTGTCGGCTGGGCAACGGAAGGCCAAGGAACTTGATGGTTGCGAAATTCTAATATTTTGCTAAGTGCTCGAGCTATAAGAAAATATTTAGTTTGTTAGGTACATGAGAAATGAACATTGAATTCATGCATGTAGATGTATGCATGAAATATACTCTCGGTGTAACAAAGGCATTCTCTTCATCCTTACAAATATTTATGAATTTCACATTTCGAATTGGAACATTTTAAAATTGTGCTTGCTGATATCAGATAAAAAGTCATAATATAATAATATTATTCATATGAATCTCATATTGTAAAAAAATTATTTAAATTTAATTTAGTGAGGTTACAGGGTCATAATAATAGTTTTCCATTATATACGTTGGGAGGTTATCTCCCATAATGCATTGCATATATGTGCAGTAACACGGTCAGTAATGTATTGAATTTGGCTGAGGTGTCTTAACAAGTCACAATTTATGATCCTTGGAACTGAAAAGAATCAAAGTACTAGCATTTTTCTACTGCTGAGTAGGCAGTTGCCTAATGATGATGCTTCATTAAATCTGTATCGTTTGTTTTGTGAACAAAAAAGATTGAACTCTGACCTGTATATCTGAAACCATGTATAAATCCCCCAGCTGATTTCCTGAAGTCCAAGGAGTGTGTGTTTGTGCCAGCAAAAAATAGCCCTGGTATATTCACAGCTTCGTAATTATCATTGATTAGGGGATATTTTTTCTGCCGTCTGACAGTACCTGGTATAACTGGAACACTCCTATGAAAGGGAGATGTATTTTTTTTAACAATACAACATGTACATATTGAATCATTCTGGTTGAAACAAAAACTGAAAACACTCAGGAAACCATACTTTTGGCTAGATATTATGAACAGTGTAATAATTTTACACAATCCGCTTCATATAAACACTCGCTGACACTCATGTGTATAATTGTGCAAAACCTTGAGGAGTACAAGCCTTGGACAGTGGTTTATTGCTTCATGTTACTATAGCAACCTATACATCATCAGAAAGCTTAGATATAGGCAAATATGGATTGTGCATATGCCATACGAATGCTTGTCTAAAAAATTATTTCTATAACAATTGTGCTTTTTGGACTATATTGCAAACATTGGTTTTCAACTTTTTCAGTCATGTGAATGACCATTGCTTTGCACTGCACATTTGTAATGCTGCAGGAGAAACGATTGCATTCTTTTTATTTGCCTTTGTTTTCTAGCTACGCCCAAATTACTACAGTGAAAGGAAGGGAAAGAAAATCTAAACATTTCTCACCCAAAACTTTAGCATATATATGATTTATTATATTTTATCCTCATTAAGATATAAATTAATGTAGGAATAATTAACTTACTCATCAAATATGCTGAAGTCAAACATAAACCCAAGACACCTAATGATTACATCATACGGTTCTCTAGCAGCAAAATTATCAATTGCTTCTGTTTCAAGGTATGTGGAGTTGGTTTCAAGCAGATCAGCATCAATTAGATCAACATATATCTTGCCATCTTTTTTTACCAATTTTACTTCTTCCAGAGGAGCTTCTAGAATACCATCAAGTGATTTCAACTGGTAGGTATCTAACAAACCATTGTTTATAGCTCTAAAAATAAAAACATTAATTAATTAAAAAATCATTAATTAATTAATCCTATTGCAACATAGTGAATAATTGATAATAAACATTTTTGAGAGCATATCAGCATTGAGTATTAGTGTGGTTGCTAGTATCAGTATAGCTGTTAGCGTCAGCATGGATGCTAATATCAGTGTGGTTGCTATCTAATATCAGCATGGTTGCTAGTATCAGCATGATTGCTAGTATAAGCACGGTTGCTAATATCAGTGTGGTTGCTATCTAATATCAGCATGGTTGCTAGTATCAGCATGGTTACTAGTATCAGCATTGCTGCTACCGGTAATAGCAGTGTGGTTGCTAGTATCAGCATGGTTGCTAATATGTGGATGCTAGTATCAGCATAGTTGCTAGTATCAGCATGGTTGCTAATATGTGGATGCTCGTATCAGCATATTTGCCAATATGTGGATGCTAGTATCAGCATGGTTGCTAGTATTGGCATGATTGCTAGTATAAGCATGGTTGCTAATATCAGTGTGGTTGCTATCTAATATCAGCATGGTTGCTAGTATCAGCATGGTTACTAGTATCAGCATTGCTGCTAATAGCAGTGTGGTTGCTAGTATCAGCATGATTGCTAATATGTGGATGCTAGTATCAGCATAGTTGCTAGTATTAGCATGATTGCTAGTATAAGCATGGTTGCTAAAATCAGTGTGGTTGCTAGTATCAGCATGATTGCTAGTATCTATGTGGTTGCTAGTGGTTGCTACTGCTAGTATCATTGTTGTTTCTAGTATTAGCATGACTGTTAATATCAGCATGGCTGATAGTGTCAGCGTGATTGATATCATATTTCCAGTTACATATTAATCTATGAGTTCCTATTTCTAAGTGTTATCATGAATCACATAATTGTAGTGAAATATTAATCTGGGAGTTCCTACATGTATGTGTTATCATGAATGACAAAACTCAAACGACATATTAATCATAGAATGCCTGCATAGTTTTTAGTCCCCGTTCGGACGCAGTCCAAAAACGGGGACTTATGTTTTGACCTCCGTGCGTCCGTGCGTGCGTCCGTGCGTGCGTGCGTCTGTACGTGCGTCCATACCTGTATCTTAGAAATACCTGGACCAATCACAATCAAACTTCACATATACATCATACATGATATCATACATATGCACGTCAATTTGTTTCATGATCTGATTCAAGATGGCCGAATGGCGGCCATTTTTGTGCTAAAAATCATCAAAATCGAGCATTTCCCGGTTGTTTACAGATGGATTTTGTTCAAACCTTGTATATACGTTGGACATTATAGGACCTTGATGCACATCATTTTGTTTTATGATCTGATTCAAGATGGCCGAATGGTGGCCATTTTTGTGCTAAAAAATCATAAAAAGCAACCATTTCTCGGCTGTTTACAGATGGATTTTGTTCAAGCTTGGTATATACATTAGACATTATGGGACCTTGATGCAAATAATTTTGTTTTTCAAGATAACATTCAA